AATTAAGAATAGGGTTAAAAATTTCAATAAATATAAATTAATAATAGTGTAAATAAAAAAAAATGTATTTTATTTAAAAAACGCATGGGGTGCATGGTGTCAATAGTTATAAATATTTTATTGACAGATGTGAGTAGCGAGTGGTTATCATTTTGATAATATCTTAAAAAGCCCCCCACGCTTTTTTTAAAATAAAATAATTTTTTTTTTATTCACACTGTTATTAATTTATATTTATTGAAATTTTTAACACTATTCTTAATTAAAATTTATTTTCTATTTTTTAGTTTGATTTTCTATAAAAAGCGTGTTTTTAGTTTTTTTAAACTATTATTTATTATAGTTACTTGACAATAATTAGGAAATTATTTTTCACTTTTCAGTTTGTAGGAATTATTAAATTACTGCAGCTCCTAAAATATCGAAGATAGACTGGTAGTATAATAACAATTTCTAAAGGAGTCTTTTTTAGCTATAGGTACAATTTTTGTATCTTATAATTTTTTCCTCAAATCAATATTTTAGGAGTTAATATTATATGATCATTTGTTTTAATGAATAGATCATAATTTTTTTTTTATAATGACTAGTTCATGATTTGGTATGATTTGTTTTCGATTTTTTATTTAAATAATATATATAATAACGATGTAATTTTAAGCTCGCCTTGGTAATATAGAAAATTAAGATGAAATAACATATCATCTGAGGGTAACATTTAGGACATTTAGCACTTCTCCAAAGTCGGTCGGATCAGAATCTTTAAAAATTATCAATCGGATCAACAACTGTTTGGTACATAGTTAATTAAAAAAAAAAAAACGACTCTCCGCGCTAACTTCCTTCCAGTAATTTTGATTATGAAAAAAAAAATAAGGATTTAAAAATAAAATTTAATAGCTATATGCTTAAATGCAAGGATTTTAAATATTTATCATAAGTTTAATTTTGAACTCCGGGAAGCTGACGAGTTTCTTTAATCAATAAAATAACATCTTGAAGGATTTATTTTTTATAATTTATTGCAAGTCTAATAATAATTTTATAGATGGAATATTATCATGTATCAACTCAATATTTATATAAATATAAATTCACACTACTACGAATCAATTTAAATAATTAATTTTTTTTTAATCAAAATTGTTTTTTGACGGTTCTATAATTTGTAAACGGTTGATCCAATTAATTCGTGGATAAAGACTTTTTTTATAGTGCATAAAATTTTCTGTAAGAATCTTTCAAAAATTTTTGCAAAAATGAAAATTTTTTAGTTCGCGGTTTTGTAACTTATAAACGGTTGATCCGATCAATTCGCGGATAAGAATCTTTTTTGTAGAGCAGAAAATTTCCTATAAGTAACGAAAGAAGAATTTTAAAAAAAAAGAAAATTTTCAATTTTTTAATAAAAGATAAGAATTTTTTTTTATTTAGAATTAAATTTTCTTAAAAAAATACACTTTGAAATCTCAAAAAAATTGATTTTTGTAATCCGTGATTAATTTTGCCTAGAAATAATAAAAGCAAATTTTAGATGACTATTATCTCATTAAAACTATTATTTTAGATAATCGTAATAATTTTTAGCTTAATTTATATTAATAGTCATTGTAAATATAGATTTTTTTCTAATAATACGGAAAAAAGCATTAAATAATATTTTTGGAACTAAGGTAAAGTACCCAGTGTTTTAAAACTTATAAAAATGGGACCAGTACTTGAACAGACTTTTTGAATTATTGTAATACAAAATCCGTATATTTATTATGAGTAATA